TCTCTCTCTCTCCATCGCCTGAACACAACAAAAAAAATGGAACCGCCGCCACCGCCGCTCGACTTCGACGCCGACCACCACTCCTCCACCCACCAACTAAACATGGACAACCTCGTCGCCGTCAAGGTCCTCGGGCAGGGCGCCATGGGGACGGTCTTCCTGGTCCACGACCGGGCCGCACCCGGCCCATCCGCCGCCAGCCCATACGCCCTCAAGGTCGTCGACAAGGCCCAATTCCTCTCCCACTCCCACTCCCGGTCCGACGCCGAGCGCCGGGCCCGCTGGGAGATCCGGGTCCTGACCCGACTCGCCCGCTCCCGCCACCCGTTCCTCCCTCGCTTAGTCTCCTCCGCCGAGACCCCCGAATTCCTCGCGTGGGCCCTCCCCTTCTGCCCCGGCGGAGACCTCAACGTCCTCCGCCACCGCCAAAACGACCGCGTTTTCTCCCCCGCCGCCGCCAGGTTCTACCTGGCGGAAATCCTCTGCGCGCTGGAGCACCTCCACGAGCTGGGGATCGTCTACCGGGATCTCAAGCCGGAGAACATTCTGATCCAGCAGTCCGGTCACGTGACCCTCACGGACTTCGACCTCTCCCGATTCCTCGGCCGGAGGAGGAGGAATCGAAGTACGGCCAAGTCAGAAGTTGAAATTAGGTGTGTATTTTCTTTTTTCAGAATAGAAAATTATTTCAATTGAATTTTCACCTAATAAATTAATTTATGACAATAAGTGAATTTTAGTGTTAGTTCACACATTTCCATATTGCATTATCGTTTTACCAAATCTTACATGTGTCTCGTGACAGAGCCAAATCGACGGACGCCGGCGATTTCCTCCCTCCGAGGAAGAGCAGAGTGGCGCGGTGGTGGATGCCGGCGGCGGTGGTCCCCGTCGGCGACGAGAAGGGTTTGTTGAAGAAGACGAATTCGGCGAGGATTGCTCCGGTGAGCCACCGGAGGAAGGAGGCAGAGGGAGAGAGGTCGAATTCGTTCGTCGGGACGGAGGAGTACGTGTCGCCGGAGGTGGTGCGAGGGGAAGGTCACGAGTTCGCCGTCGACTGGTGGGCCCTGGGGGTTTTGCTCTACGAGATGGTGTACGGGACGACGCCGTTTAAGGGGAGGAACCGGAAGGAGACGTTTCGAAACGTGTTGATGAAACGGCCGGAGTTCGTCGGGAAGCTGGGGAAGGATCTGACCGACCTGATCGAGCGGCTGCTGGAGAAGGACCCGGCGAAGCGGCTCGGGTACGCGGACGGAGCAGCGGAAATCAAGGGGCACGCATTTTTTAAGGGGGTGAGGTGGGACCTACTGACGGAGGTTTGCCGGCCGCCGTTTATTCCGTCGAGGGACGAGACGGAAGGGTCGTGTCCGGGGATGATGCCGGCGGCGGTGGGGGGTGTGGAGATAAGGGAGTATTTCGAGAAGCTGAGGGCGCCGCCGCCGTTGTGGTCTCCGTCGTCGGAGTTTCATAGAAATGTTTCGCTGGCAGAGTTCTGACCACCACCACACACGTGCGGCGGAGGCCCACGTGTAAGGGATATAATATATATATATATATGTATGAATTAGTTTAGTTTAGTGTATTATTCTCATTATCTCTCTGTAGTTCTGTGTACATAAAATAATTGCGTCGGTTTAAAACAGAATTGACATATTAACCGGGCACGGTTAAAAAAAGTTACTTAGTTGAGCAAATGTAGTTACCGTATTACTTATGATTAGTTGCTAATGACCTACTTTCTCTCCAAAAATAGACTTTCAACTCTTAACGTTTTCGAATCAGAATATTTGTTTCTCTAATTGATGTTTTATCATTTGCAACAAAAAAAATGTTATTGCCCGTAAGAAATCAATATGGGAAGGTATCAATCAGTATATTAAAGTTATTGTATGGAGGTTAGTGTTGATTATCTTTTTATCGGAGACTTCGTAACATAAAATTATAGATCGAGTCAGTATATAAATAAGAAGTGATCTTGTACCACTTTGACGTTCAAACAAAATGTCTATTGCATCATGCTTGACAAAGACAACGATTAAACGAAGTTGTGATTCAACAGCCATTATGCAACTCTATTGTTTTCCTGTATGTATGTTTACCCATGGGGTTAAGAGAATAGTGGAAGGATGATTAATTATTATTAGAAGGAAAGAGAAATATGGGTTTGGAATGATTACTAGACAAAATAGTCTGAAATCACGGGCTTAAGCTAAGGGAGTCTCAAGTCTGAGGTCTTTAGTGTTGGGCCTTTCATTAGATTAGCTAGGGCTCCTTTTATGAAAGTTGCCTTTCCAAATCCCTTTTCATTTTTGGTCGTCTACCATATTCCTGACTTCCATAGTTCTATTTCTTCACCAAATATAGTGGTTTCTTCGTTATATTGCATTGGGGTGGTGTTGATATCACTTGAATCAGACTATTTGACTACGATTGGAAGTCACGGGACTATAAATACTTCTCATACTCTTCTGTAATCTGTATAAGTCATATTATCTCTCTCCTGCCCGTAGACTAGCTAGTTAACACACATTGTGTTAGTGAACCACATCTAAATCTGTGTGTCTCGAGTCATTTCTTGCTCTATAGAAACGATCGTGACGGGTCGGATGAACATAATCTATTCCTTTCTTGCTCTATGTACCATGCAAGAGGTCTGGAGATTGAAATCAATAATCAATAAAAGGATATTTGGCTTCCTCAATGCAACTATGAAAAACGGTAAAGAAAGGAATAGATTATGTTCATTCATTCATCTTGATCGTTGGTTGATTAAAAAAACAACTTTTGGGCACTCGAGGAGGTGGTTTAATTTGCAAACTGCGAAGAACATAGAAACGGTAAGACGGTTTACTTTTGAAGTTTGAACTGACTTGCTTTTACGGCAAAGTGAACTTACGGTGAGGAAACTCCATGATCACTTGTAACATACTCTGACCGACCACCACCTTTCCCTCAACTATATAGTTAACTGTTTGTGGTTAAAAGAAAAGTGTGGGTTCTTCAAAGCTATGAAAATGCTGCCGTTAAAGTACTTCTTATGCTGTAGCTTTACACAAAGTGGAAAGTATATGGTTGAAAGCAGAAACTGAGGAGACTAAACAAAGCTAACCGTTGAAAATGTAGGTAAAAGCCAAGTGGTAATGAAATCGTTGTAAACTGCATCGATTTTGATTCTCGGTACGTGGTTTAATCGATACAATGACAATCAATTCATACAGACTACAGAAACAAACTAATTCGTATATGCCATTTCCTTGGTTAAAATACTAAAGAGTTTGTTCTATATGAAGGGAACATTGGGACCATCTTCTTTTCCCAGCAAAGATAGGTCCCATGGCGGGCAAAAGCAGAGAATTAGCTTAGGCTGTTAGGCAGCGTGAGTCGAACGTTGATTTTGGAAATTCTTGTCCCCTATTTTTTTTTTGTGTTTTCTCACACGTTAAGTTGTCTTGTTAGGCGTTTACGACGGATGGAATGTGTTTATTCAATTCTTAATTACCACTTGGTTAATTCACAATTGCGTCGGATGCTGATTAGTGTGGTTACTCAGATGATTGTAATTAGCTAATAAACTACTGTACAAGTCCAACTTGGAACCCTTCAAAGTTCATCCTCCTCGACTATCCCTTTCTTTCCACCGATGAACTGGACTGGCGACATGTTTTCCCTCCTTACTTTAGAGCTTTTTTAACTGTGGCCCAATTTCAATTCGGTCAGGCCCCTGGATTTACGTTAAATCCGGCCCAAGCCCATGAATGCCAGTTATGTCCACAATCGACCGGCACTTTGAACATTATAATTATTTAACAATAAACCAAATATGCGATGTGTATTATGATATATGGTTTTATTATCAACCAATCGAAATCCATTATAAAAAGAACACATTTTCATATATCTGTATTCATTAAAAAAACCCAGTTAGTATACTATTAAGAAATTAAAGATATATAAGAAAAAGTAATTAAAGATATACAATACAATTTATCTACGAGAACAAGATTAGAGATAATGCTTAGGTAGGAGTGTGTAACGGTTGGCTTCCGTAGAATTGTGCGTTCCATTCCAATAGTAAAAGAAATCTTAGAAACTAAAGAGCGGACCAACATTTCATTCGGTTTGATTTGGGTTTTTTTTTTTGGTATGGTACAAAATGTCATTTCGCTTCATTTTTCTTCCCTGTTTATAAAACTTATGGGAGCAAGAACCGAACCACGTTATATTAACAAAGAAAAATGAGGACCAGTACCAAACAAAAAAAAACATTTGACTCATTTGATCCGATCCAAATTCAGTTTACGTCCATTTTTTTATTTATACTTAAAATAATTCATAGACCAAAACCAAACCTAAATTATATATTCGATATGATCTGACTCGCGATCTAGTATGAACCGGATCGTCGCCTAACTCCCAAACAAGGATTCCATCTCCATCATCTCTTTCTTTCTCTCCCTATCATCACCATATTTAATTTGTTCATATATCACATGCGGAACTTCTTCACCCAGAAGGTATTAACTACTTCTGCAATTGAGAGAGAGAGAGAGAGTTCGATTTTACACGAAACGAAATCCATAATTACATAAGAAACAAGACTAGAGATGAAAAATGCATGCATATGCATGCACACTTACGTCTGTGCTACTTATAATACGTGATTCCTGTTTACGTACATAGCGACGCCGGTGTAGGTTAATAAGCAAGAGACGTACTGGTGGAAGCAACTGTCAATGGCGGAAAAACAGACAAAAACCATATCTCAAATCTGACCGTTATGTGATTTAGGGGGAAACGAGTTTTTTTGTAATTTTGCTTAGTGTTTACAACGTTTGGATTCAAACGGCTCATCTGCATTTTCAACCCTTTTGTGCAAAAACGGTATTTGCGTACCATAATGAAATATGCTCTTCCCATACTCCATCTTCCTCTCTAGCTACCGTTAGTGCAATAACCGTGTATATATATGCAGCTAAATTCCTCTCCCTGTGTGTCATCTTCTTCCTCTTAACTTTCCCTCCTCTCTCAAACCCTAGTTCTTCGTAGCCAGCCACACCAAGTTCGGCCGTCACAGACTTTTCTCACCGTTTTCATCTTACCAAAGATGGTGAAACCGGCGCTGCTGTCAACAATCGCGTCGCTCTCCTTCCTGGTCTTGGGATACGGTAAGTCGTCGTTGACCGACTGATCCACCCGCCATTAATCAAAACCATGCATGCATGCAATGGTTACGTTCTTCCTCCAACGTACGTAAAATCTGACTCTCTCTTGTTTTTTCTGTTTTTTTTTTGGGTCCGTAGATTTTGCGACCTATCGGTACGGCTGGCGATTAATAGCGGAAAATACGGGATCCGGAGCTCGCCACCTCACCATACTGGTGGCCGTCCATCACTTCGCCGCCATCTTGAGTGCGACGGCGGCGGGGGTTTGTGCCGACTTCATCGGCAGGAGATACCCTCTGGCGGCGGCTGGCGCGCTGTTCTGCGTCGGCAACGTGTTCAAGTGCTGCGCCACCAGGTCGTACGGCATTCTTCTGTCCGGCCAGCTGTTCGCCGGCCTGGGTGCCGGAGTAGCCCTCACGGTTGCTCCGCTGTACATCGCTGAGCAGGCTCCGTACTCCCGACGTGGACAGTACACGTCACTTCCAGAGGTACGTGCGTAGTTAGCACTAGCCAACAAACCACAATTGGAAAAATACAGTAATAATTCGTCTCGATAGTGTGTGGCCATATAATCAATGGGCAATTAGTTGGTCTAAATCAGAATTAATGACTACACAAATCATATGAAACAGTAGGTTTTATAAAATTTTCTTTAAATTATATGTCAACTATATATATATATGAGAAATAAAATGAAAGAGGGACACTAGATATATACTACATAGCTTGCAACTATAAATGAACAAAACAAAACCCACGTGGGGAGAAAGGATATGGCGGTTAAGTGTCACGTTAACATGTTGCACCCCTTTGAATTTATTGTTTAATCTAATTAATTAATCTTAGTTTGTAACATATTGATTCATAAGTTCCAAAATTCTTGAAGGCTTTTGCAGTTCTGCCCTACCTAACTAACAAACCATATTTAATTACAGATGTGGAGGAATGTGGGAGTCCTGGTGGGCTACCTTATCTTCAACAAGCTCGCACTTACTACACCGGACCGCATCGCACAGACGTGGTTTTTTGTGATCCCAATCGTGCCATCGATTCTGCTCACTATAGCAATGGTGGTGATGCCGGAATCCCCTCACTGGCTCATCATAGCCAGGATGAGGGTCGACGAGGCGAAGCAGATCATGGAACGCGGCGAGAAAAGCGCAGCTGAGATCGACCGCATAGGATTTCAGATGGAATACCTAGCGGACCACGTACCTTCGCTTCGCTTCGTGTGGAAGGACTTGGTGCGACCTCCGCTGCGCCACATTGCCACCTCCATCGCGCTCGTGCAGGCGCTTCGACACCTCGGGGTCGACTCCTACCTGAAGCTGGAGAGCCTGCTCACTCTCTACCAAGTCGAGGAGAAGCTGCTGACCAAAGCGAACGGTGCGGTTCTGCTGGTGAAGGCGATCTGCGCCATGATCTCCGTCCGCGTGGCGGACAAAGCCGGGAGCCGGTTCTTGCTGCTGGTCAGCACCGTGCTCACCGTTTTGTTTCTGCTCATGTTTGGGCTCCCGTTGACCGACCTCCACTCCCCTCCTCAAGTCTATCACGGGAGCACCAAGGTACTCAGCCTGGCGGCGTTCGGCGGGATCATGGGCTCGTTCGAGTTCGGGCTAGGGCCCATGGTGTTGGTCTACACGAGCGAGGCGTTCCTCTACCGAGCCCGAGCTCAGGGAGTTAGCTTCGGGGTTGTCGTCGGCCAGATCGTCGAAGTATGCATGTACTTTGTTTTAGGTCGTTTGATAGCGCCACTCGGCATCGGCGGCGTGTATGTTTTGCTTGCCGGCCTAATGGCTCTCGGGCTCGTGTTCTGCTGGCGGACTGTTAAGGACAAAGCTGAAGAAATTCTTGTGTGATTGTTAATCTTAATTAGTGATATATATTGTAAGTTGAAAATAAGTGAATTTCTTCCGATTGGAATAATAACATTACGCGCGTCCCTTTCAACAAGTCTTCGATACTATGCACTTTCTCTCTTCTCTGTGTAATTAACTCAGATTATAAAGCTGATTAAGCTTAAGCTGAGAACTCACTATCGTAATTCGATTCATTCTCATAATAAGCAAACTTCTTCAGTAAAAAATCTAATATATTGTATTAGAGCTCATCTGATGAGTTGATGCTCGACTCACAAACTCGCTTCCTTCTTGATTCTTTCTTCTTTTTGGAGTATAATGTAGTTAAAATCGCACTTTAAATTTTAAAATTTATGCTTTTACTTTACCAAAATGCTTCTATGCAGAATTGCTATTTTTATAACTAATGTAGTTAAAAACGCGCTTTCAATTTTAAAAATTTACGTTTTACGCTTATAGATCACCAAAACTCTTCTGTGTAAAAAAAAAAAACTTTCAACTATATTGTTCGAGATATTTCTACCTGTCCTCCTATGGTTGTTCATGATTCTCCTTCTTCTGGCGACGAAGTCACAAATCCTCACAACAGAGATCACCGGAGCAATAATGGTGGTGTTTTATACAAAAGTATTCCAATCTCTGATCGTGCCTCTCCTTTCTTCATTCATCCATCGTAAAATTGGGACAACCGGTGAATGAGAACAATTCTCGAGCTGGGAACGATCGATGGTATTGGTTATGATGAGAAATTTTTTTAGGGTTTCTCAGCAGCAAAATTGCCCAGCCCAATGATGATTCGCCTCATTGGAGCCATGGAATCCCAATGGTAAGCTTATCCTAAGTTGGATTAAGAGGTCTATCAATTCAACAATCGTTGAGAGCATCCTCTATGTCACCACTCCGATTCATGCTTGGACTGAGTTATGAGAGAAGTTCTCACAGGGCGATTCTTGCAGAATAGCCAATCGTCAATAAGTTATCTTCAACTTGAAACAAGGTACATTGGGTGTTTCTTAGTACTACTCTAAGCAAAGAGCACTTTGGGATCGGTTGGCTAGCTATTCTTCTACTATTCGAGCTACTCAACCAAACTATACCCTCGAGCACAACCTTGTGTTTTCTTAGGTCATCCTCACAATACCAAAGGATATACACTTTATAATCTAGTCAAGCATTATATACTAATCTCCAGAGATGTTTTACTTTATGAGAACATAGTTCCTTACCAAACTTCTGTTGTTACTCCTACCTCTATAACAGTGCTTCTTGTTTTTCTCGAATCCATATTTGATGAAGATTTCTCAAAGGAAAAATTAGGTCCTTCCTCACATGCCATCACCTACAGCTCCTGTGATTTCTCCTTCTGATGTTGATAACACAACATTACAAAACAATAAGATAGAATCTCATCCGGTTTTTCAAACTTTGGAAAGATCTTCAAGACAACCAGTTAAACCAGTTTGTCTTAAAGTTTACAAATGTAACATTCTTAGTTCTACTACTTTTCCTCTACTTCAATAACTTATCTTATTCATAACATTCTCAGTTATAGGTCTCTAAGTCCCACTCATAAAAAAATCCCCTTTCTATCACTAAGACTAGGGAACCAAAGTCTTTTAAATAAGCAACCACTAATGAAAGATTGTTACAAGCATGTAATTCTGAGTTCAACTCCCTATGTAAACCTAAGACATGGGTACTTGTAGATCCTCCCCATACAAACATATTTAGCTTGTAAATGGATGTTTCAAATCAACTATAAACCAATTGGTCAAATAAGTTTAAAGTCAGGTTGGCGATCAAAGACAACACACAAACATCAAGTGTAGAGTATAGTGTCCTAGCTAGTTGTTAAGATGACCACAATAAGAATTTTATTATCTTTGGCATCTATCTGTAACTGGTTCTTAGAGGAACTTGATGTCAATACAACATTTCTTCATGGAGACCTTAATGAAGAAATGTATATGAAACTCCCACATGGTTTCCCTATTATTATTGTTGATAAGAACAAAATATGCAACTTAACTCAGTCCTTATATGGCTTAAAGCAAGCTAGTCGTCAATGTTTGCTTATTAACCATTACTTTTGAACAACTGGGTTATCACAAGTCATATAGTAACTATTCTCTTTTTACGAAACATGTTGGAAACTCATTCACAACCTTGTTAGTCTATGTGGATGACATAATTCTAACAGGTAACAAGTTTCTAGAAATTGGAATGGTAAAAAAAAGGCTAAATGTTGCTTTGACAATCAAAGATTTGGGTCCACTAGGTCAATAAAAGTGCCATGGTCCATACCAGACCAGATATATGCTATACAATAACCAGCTGAGTCAATTTGTGGATGCTCCAACCACTGTAAATGAGCAGGTCATACACATGTTTCTTCGCTATCTGAAAATCAAACCTGCTAGATGCATATTCTTCCCTAATAACTTTTCCACTATACTCACAGCCTGCTCAGACTCTGATTGGGATGGATGTCTTCACACTAGACTATCAGTAACTGGATTTTGTATTTATTTAGGCAATTCCTTCATCAGTTGGAGATCAAAGAAGCAGCACACCGTATCGAGATCCTCGCCAGAAGCATAATACCGAGCTTTGACCGACACTTACCAATAGTTGCCGTGGATGACAACATTGTTCAACCTCAACAATCATACGTGGTTTATTGTGATAGCCTCTCTGATGTGAAGATGACAGAGAAACCTGTTCAACATGAAAGAATCAAATATATCGAGGTTGATTGTCATTTCACGAGAGATCATGTTCTGGCCAACAAATTGAAGGTTCATCCCATTTCAACAACCCTTCATCTTGTTGACCCTCTAACCATAGCATTACCAGTTTATACCTTAGCATATTTAGTCTCTGAACATGAAATCCATCCATGTTTAGCTTGCGAGGGTTAATTATTAGGACAAAGGACCATTTCGTATACATTCCAAAGATATAACAGTTAGATGACTAAGACTAGAATACGTGTATTAGGTTAGTATAGGGATTAATTTGTAATTATGTTAATTTTGTTTTGATTTCCCACTCTTTCTCTCTCCTCTCTATAATTAACTCAGAATCTAAAGCTTATTAAGGTTAAGCTGAGAACTCACTCTGTTTATTCGATTCATTATGGAAATTAGCAAGAATTCTCCTTCAATCAGAAATCTATAATTTGTACATGTACCACTATTTCGACAAGCACTTTATAGTTCAAAGTAATCTATTGCTTCCCGTGACAAAGTTATTAAAATCTTGATTCTTGAGAATGAAAGACACGTATATATTTTAGAGCTTGAGACTGTTGTCTTGGAATCGAGTATTGGTAAAAAAGGAAAGTACTTGGTTTCCCCCTTTCTTTAGTTTTTTGTTTTTTTATAATGGCGATAGAAATTTTATTAAGAAAGGAGAGAAGAACCAAAAATTGTTCCACATGGTTCACAAGAATTGAACCTCTACCAAAGAACAACAAAAAACAAACCAAAAGAGAAAAGGAACAAGGGGCAACAACTAAATGGTAGTTCCCCCTTCTTATAGCCTTATATTGATGATTTGCAATTCTCATATACTTATTAATTGTCCTAGCATGCTTTCCTTTGTTTTGCTTTTAATTGTAATTTCTATTGTACTTTCTCTATTCGTCCAACACAAATGACTTCATATTTTATTAATCAGGCGAAGTGGTTACACTATCCTCTTTTTTGCCGATGATCTTATGTTTATTTGTAGAAGCAAGGACGAGACAGATCTCGGCAATGAAAAGATGCATGGAGGATTTCTGCTACAGCTTCAGCCAATTGGTTAATCTACAAAAGTCTATGATATTTGTATCTCACAACATGCATCGGAACATAGCTAATGCTCTTAGCGCCCGGGCTGGGATACCCCTCACTGCAGACATCGAGAAATATCTGAGAGTCTTGGCGATTCACTCTAGAGTCACAAAAGATCGCTATAGAGAACTGATCCTGTGGATCCAAAGGAAGTTGGCACCTTAGAAAGCTAAGAAACTTACTCTATATGCCCGTCTTACTGTGTTCGTTCAATTACCTCTTCTATTCCTGTTTACCTTATGTAGACAGAACTCCTCCCTGTTTTGGTCTGCAAGGAGATCGAAAAAAATCAATCGGAGCTTTATCTGCGGTGACACGGAGAATAGAAAGCATGCCGATTTGGTTGGTGGAAGAAACTGTTGGAACCAAAGTCGTGTGGGGGAGCGGGGCTCAGATCACATCGTCATACTAATTTGGCCCTTCTAGCTAAGAATGGGTGGAGGATTCTAAGAGAAAAGGAGACGTTGTGGACTCAAGTAGCTCGGGGAAAGTACGGAAGAAAGCAGGAGGGCCTCTCCATGTTCGCTGGAAAACAGAGAAGTTCCTTTACCTGGAAGAGCATATCCAAAGCGGCTCCTATTCTTCGGAAGGTGTATGCGTGGAATCTTTTGAATGGTAAAGATACCAGATTTTGGACTAACGTGTGGTGTTTGCAGGTTCCTCTAGTGGACAAGTCTCTGGGGCCCATTCCGGATGAAGACCTCGAGAAACCAATTCAGGCCTTTCTCGATGCGAACGCTCGGTGTAGAACCGATCTCTTTTATGGCCTCCTATCGACGGATACAATCAACATGATTACTGTCATAGCGGTGGACCCTCTCGAAACTAAAAGAGACACTTTTTTCTAGCAGCCCTCAGTGAATGGAAAGTTCACGGTGAAGTCAGCTTATCTCTTGGCTCACCTGCCTCCAAATGAGACCGAGAGTGACCTCTGGGATCGTGTTTGGAAGCTTCAAGTTGCGGAGCATGTGCGCCACCTCACTAGGCTTTTCCTCCTTCATCGGATCAACACGAACCAAAAGAGATTCAACAGCTACATTGCTCCTAACCCCTTTTGCTATAAGTGTGCAGGTATCCCCGAGACAGAGATTCACCTCCTTAGAGACTGTCCATCCTCCATCTATTGCTGGTCTCGGCTTGTTCCAACTAGGCAGCAAGCGATTTTCTTCTCGGCGGATTTGACGAGTGGGTGCGGCGTAATATCATGGATAAGTCGACTGATGATCAAGAAGTTCCTTGGGTTACGTGATTCTCC